TCCTCGATACGATCCCACATCGCATCCTTCGTTTGCTCCGTACCTTTAAAAATGTATTACACAATTTTTTTAGACACCATTAAATATAATATATAAAAATAAAAACATAAATATATTACAAAAAATAAATTTTTAACCAATGATAGGATGCTCGGAGACGTCAACCCAAGCCGACGCCAATATGCACTCCTCCTCCGGCGTCCACTTTTGGATTGACCGTGCCGCCTCGGTCAACGTGCTTTTGGCTTTGTGGCTTCTCCGGCGTGTACTTTTTTTCGATCCGGACGGTTCCGGTTGAGTCTCCGGAACCGAATCTCGGTCGACGTACCCCGACTGTTGCGTGTCGTACATCGGCAGTCGATCGCCCAACTCTTGGTAATACCACATCGCGGCGTCAACGGGCGGGAGATCGTCGGGAAAGAAGCCGGAGCCGGAAGGATTCATGTTGAAATTTGGGAGGGGGGAGTTTGAATTTTGAAATTTAAAAATAAGAAAGATGAAGAGATTGAAGAGAAGGTGTGAGAGATTGGTTGGGGGGTTGAATTTATAGGAAATTTTTTTTTTTTTTTTTTGAAATGTGGGCTGCAACGGCTTTTTTAGCCGTTAGGAGGAGCCGCGCAAGAGTCACGCCGCGTCAAACGAATGACGCAGGCGCCCTCACGCCCGTTTCACGCCGGCGGGGGGCGGTGTTTCACGCCCCCGGGGCGTTAAACGCCCCGTAACGCCGGTGGGCGTGAGGGGTACTACCAGTGCTCTTAGGCCCCCAACAGCCCTAAAAATGGGTTAGTTAAATTAAATTAAACACGCAGGAGTGATATAACTGTAGTAGTCCCAGCCCACTCCCACAGGCCCAACCCTTTTCCCCCTGTATTTATATCCCCCTTCCTCCCTCCCCATCCTCTCCATCAAATTCTTCCCCTTCCACCTCCCTGAAATTACCACTTTCTCCCTGGCTATGGCTCTCACTCTGTTTTTCCTGGCTGCCCTTCTGGCAGTGGCCTCAAATGTCGATTGCAATCCCACCGGAGGGTGGACCAACGCCCACGCCACCTTCTACGGCGGCGGCGACGCCTCTGGGACAATGGGTACGTATGCAACATCCCTTTTTGTTAATACCGATTTTGCCCTTCAAAATCTAACTCGGGTTCTGATTTGTTTGCACAGGAGGGGCTTGTGGCTATGGGAATCTGTACAGCCAAGGGTATGGTACAAAAACAGCAGCTCTGAGTACAGCCCTGTTCAACAATGGCCTGGCTTGTGGATCTTGCTACGCAGTGAAGTGTGTGGGTGACAAATCTTGCCTGAGAGGCTCTATTGTCGTCACCGCCACCAATTTTTGCCCTCCCAACAACGGCCTCCCCAACACCGCCGGCGGGTGGTGCAACCCTCCCCTCCACCACTTCGACCTCTCTCAGCCGGGATTCCTTAGCATTGCCCAGTACAGAGCCGGGATCGTCCCCGTCTCTTACAAAAGGTATTTAATCCGATGTATTTCAGTTCGATTCGAAGTAGCATCTTATTTTAGCTCGAGATCTGATGAGATTTGCACATTTGTAGGGTGCCCTGTAGGAGGAGTGGCGGAATAAGGTTCACCATCAACGGGCACGCCTTCTTCAACTTGGTGTTGGTCACCAACGTGGGCGGCGCCGGAGACGTGCACGCGGTGGCTGTGAAGGGTTCTCGAACAGGGTGGCAGCCGATGTCGAGGAACTGGGGGCAAAACTGGCAAAGCAACTCGAACCTCAACGGACAGGCCTTGTCGTTCAAGGTGACCACCAGCGACGGCCGCACTGTGGTGTCTGGCAACGTCGCCCCCGCCGGCTGGCAATTCGGTCAAACCTACTCCGGCAGCCAGTTCTAATGACACCATTTTAATTACCTAATCAGTACGAGTAGTTGTTGTAGTGAGTGTGGCTGATCGTAGTGATTTAAAAGTGGTGTTTGGTGTAGGGTCAAAATGGGAAGGCTCAAGTTTAAGATAGCCTTCACCATTAAGGTTTGTTTGGATGCCCTGATTTATTACAAAGGGGTTCCAACCAAATTCTTCTTGCCCAACTTTTTTTCTTCTTTTATTTGGGTTTAATTTGATCCTCTTGAAAGAGAAAAGCAGAGGTGGATTGTATACCACCCGCTAAAGTATTGTCACTTGTGGTGTGAGTGTGAAGTGTACAACTTCATCTTGTGGTAATAGTATTGGTAAGCTGCTTTATTAATTTACATGGCTATTGTTGTTTATTTATTAAGCCTTTTAAAAAGGTTATCCATGGACAATGTTTAACGTTACGGTTTTCAAATTTATCTGCATTGTTAAAATTTTATCTAAAACGCAAAGTTAATACGCTATTAAAAACATGCCCTAAGAGCACTGGTACTACCCTCAACGCTCCTCGGCGTTATGGCCATTTTGAAGCCTGGGGGGCGTTAAACACCGCCCCCTTCCCCCGTTAAAAGGGCGTTAAACTTCTTGCGTCAAAGTTTTGACGCACTTTGAAGGCATTGTCACGTCTTCTTCTTCCCTTTTTCTCTCTTTTTTCCTCTTTTCTTCTCTATAAATTAAATTTAATTTTTTTTAAAAAAATTCAACACAAATACAAATTTCTCTCTATCTATCATCTTTTTTTAAAAAAATTATTATTCACGTGTTTTATTTATTTTTTCATGAATGTAATTTTTTTATTTAATGAATGTAATGTTTTTATTTAATTAATGTAGTTTTTTTAATAATGAATTTAATTTTTTTATTTAATGAATGTTATTTTTTATTCAAAATCATGGAAACCGACCTTTCTACGTTGTCGGGTTTCAAACGGATGATCTACGAGCAAAGATAAAGAGAGATCAAGGCGAAATATAATTTACCTTAGTTTTTTTATTAATGTATCTTTTTTATTATTGTCGTTTTTTTTTATTTTAATGAATGTAATTTTTTAAATTTTAAATTATGGTCGTTTCAATTTCTTTAAATTTAATGAATTTATTTTTTTGTATTTGTGTTTCAATATAATTAAATAATAAATTAATTTAAATTTATTAATTTAAATTTAGGAGATGTATATTTAAAAATGTAAAAAAAGAAGGTTTGAAGCCCCGGTTTGAAACCCCGGAGCTTCAAAACCATTTCCAGTGAATTTTTGGTGTAAGTTAAAGCTGACGTAGGAGAGAGAGAGTTTGAAGTCCCGATTTAAAGTCCGGAGCTTCATGACCTTTCGAGTGCTCTAAGTAGTGTCATTTTCAAAATTAAAAACAAAACAATGAAATTACTGTCACTTTCGATGTCTCCCGCAGTTAAAAGTAGACCTGGGTATTTTGTTGGTCAGTAGTGGAGTATTATTGTAGGATGATTATTTTTTGTTCATTTGTTTTCTTGACGGTAATTAAGTCGGTAGAGGGGTACCATTATCACCGCCGGTAAAAAGCAATTAACGGTGGGGAGTGGAGGGAATTTATGAAGCCTAACGAACAACAAACTGGTCAAATGTGTTTATTGCCACAGTGAATTGACGGCAGAGATAGGAAGAACTGTCCAACTCTGAACTAAAGTGAAGAAAGATTTTCTTACTGTTAAATTCTGCAGGGAGATCTTTTTTTTTGCAATGTCTTCAACAGTCAAAGGAGTGAAAGAGTTAACTTTGAATTTTGTAGTTAAACTTTTAAAATTTTAATATGGAGTAGCATATTATGGAAAAATATATTAAATTTTTATTTAAATTAAATATTAATTGATTTATTATGAAATATAGTTTTGGAATTATTTATTTGTATAATACTGTATATATTTAAAGATATACGTAGCGATAGAATTTGGGATGGGTATGAACAATTGAATTGAGTAATAAGACACTTAGATCGAACCACATTAAAAGATTATTAAAAAATCAAAGGAAAAGTTAATTTTATAAAGTAGGGAGTATTCTGTGTATTCTTTCCATTCCAAAATGATTTACATCTAAACTATTAAGATATCTTGATAGGCAAATTCTATGTTGGATCTAAAGTCTATCATGTACCTATATATATATATATATCAAAATAAATATTTCTTTAGTATTTAAATGAGCAATTTTTTTAAATACTAAAATGTTTAAATTATTTAGGGACAGAAGGAGCATATAATTTTTATTTTTTATTTTCCATATAAAATGAAAAATAAAGTTATTTAAAAAAATCATGTGATTTGGCACATTGATCGTATAGCTAAATTTATTATACTCCCTCCGTCCCTTAAACTCGTTCCCCTTTCTTTTTTTGTCCCACTAACTCCTTCCTTATCTACGGAGTATTAAAAAATCATTTTACCTCTACTAATTCTTATCCTACCTATCACATCATACCTTTTTACTAATACTCTATCACATCTTACTTTTATCCATCACTTCAAAAGCATTTTTGGAAAGTCAATACAAAAATATCTCTTCCTTAATTTCACATAAAGTCAATAAGAGAAATCCTTTTAGAGATGGAGGGAGTATATAGGAACAATTGAATAGAGGAGAGTATTACATTATGTCTCATACTACATAGGCCTTGTTTGGATGTTGGTTGTCAGATGTTGGCTGTTTGTATCGGCTGTTCTAAATAGCTGTTAAATTTAGCTGGTTTGACCGGTAGGATGAGTTAGCTGATCGTTAAAAATGTTTGGTAAAATTAGCTGATTGAAAATAGCTGTTTCGATGTATGTGTGTGTGTGCGTGTGTGTGTATATATATACACACGCGCGCGCGCGATTTTTTTTATTTTTATACATGTTAAAATTAAATCGTTAATATGTGGAGTATAAAATTTCATTTTCATATAATTCATAAGTAATTATTAATATATAATGTTTTACTGATTTTTACTTTTGATTTTCTCATATCTTTTTTTGAAAATTTAAAATTTTAAACTCTTTTTTGTAATTTTTGAATTTTTTAACTTTTATTTTTATTTTTTTTAATTATACTATAAAATTTCTTTCAAGAAAAATGAGAAAAAAAATTATTTTCTAAAAGCCAAGTTCAAAAGCTACTCCTTTTGACTTTTCAAATTTAGACATTTCAGATTAGAATGCCAAGTGAAAAAGTGATTAGTTCAATAATGATTTTGGCGGTTCAATTAGTTAAACAAGCCAAAGTCAGTCAAAGATGTCAAAATATGTCCAAAAAGCTGTTTTCCAAACACAGCGATATTTTTAATCAATAAAAATATTTTAATTTGTATCCGTACACTTCTCCATATACTTTTCAACTTCAATGTATCCATTTTGTGATTAAGTCTTCTTTTCTCAAGTAAAAGTTCTCCCATTTTAAGGACCTCATGCACGTGATTCATCCTTTTTTTCTAACTTAAATGTGCATATACGTACTCTTTAATATTCTTTGGCTCCCCATAAAGAACTACATTCTTCCCTATTTAAAAGATAAAAATTTTTGTTTATTTGTAGATTTTAATTCATTATTTGATAAAATAATTTTCTTGTTTCCACTTGTTTTGTAGAATTTTGATATACTCCGTAATATTTAATATGTATGTTTATCTTTTAATTATATTCTATATCACTTTTTAAATAAAACAAACAAAAAAACTTAAAATTTCATTTTATTTTGCGTAAAGTGTAACCATTTGAGACAGAGAGAGTACTTTAAAGATGACAAAAACATATTAGCTAGGCATAAATTATAGATGTTTTGTTCAGAAAAATAATAATTTTTCAACCTTAAGAATATCGACTTATTCTGATAAACATGCAAAAGCTCATCTCTTATAAAAATGAGTTTGTTTGCAAATTTATATAGAAATTAAAAGCGTAAATTACATGTTTCAAAACTAAATCAATGTTATATAAAACAAGAAACCACATTGATATTTTATTTTATAGAATGATAGAACAAGAGAGACAAATAGACACAAGCTATCGAAAAGTGAGAATACTAAATTGAATGATATTTCTAGAATAGAGGACGTAGTATTATATCGTTCATTAAATTATTTTGAAAATTTATAATTAAAATGAACAAAACATTCCACATACATAACTCTATGTTTTACTTTCTCTCACTTAAAACTATTTTTTCGGTTATTATTCATACAGTTATATTGTAATCACTTTTTTTTATCAATTTTTGTTATTAGTCATTTGATATAATAATATAGTCATATTATCTCTTTTTTGTAGAAAAGTTTATGTAGTACAAGTTCTTAAATATATAAATTTTATTTTTTAATATATAGGTGCTCCCATGTCCTAATTTAAATCATCTGTTTCATTAAACGGTGTTTAATTGATGACCTTTCTAATGCCGGCCAATTTATTTGAGAATTGAAGCAAAATTTAAAAATAAAATTTAAATTTTAGAAAACATACAACAAAAGTTCCATGAAACAAGAGATGACATGACTATATTATTTCATCAAACAATGAACACAAATAAAGAAATAATGTAAATTATACTCCCTCCGTTCCACAAAACCCTTCATCTTTCGTTTTTTTTGAATTCCCTAAAACACTTCCACTTTCTATTAAAAAACCACTTTTACCCTTACTTTTTCATACCCTACCTATCACATCATATTTTTTCTCTAATAACCAAACTATCACATCTTACTTTTACCCATCACATCAGGGACAAAATTGGAAAGTCAACCAAAATTATACTTTCCTTATTTTTCCAAAAGTCAAAAGTGGAAGGGTTTAAAGGAACGGAGGGAGTAGAAAGTTTGATCATGTGAAAGTAAACATGTAACACTAACGGTTCGGTTCTTTTACATTCGATTTTGGTTTTTTCGGTTTGGTTTTTTTTCTAGCTCGTTTCGATCCACTATGGAGAGGACCTACTATGGAGATCGACATTTACATCCCTTGTGTGGACCCAAGTGCTTTAACAAAATTTCAAAACAAACATGGCACTGTACTTAACAAGTGGGGCACAATTGATGTTTGCTTGTATCAATATATTGAATTTAGATTTTTTGAACAAACATGGCAGGTCTGATCTAATTTTTTGTGACCAAAATATGTACTCCAAGTTGAATTCTAAAGATATGAACATGCATTTTAATGATTCACACTGACACACAATACTAATTAAATTAAAAAAATTAAACTAACATTTTGTATCAGTATAAATCATAACACTAACACAAAATGTTTGTGCATGTCTTCGAGGTACATATTTTGGTATACAAATAGCTTAATTCAAAACCAAATATTTTAATGGATTTTAG